TCAAGAAAGGATGAACATGACATTGAATGTAAATGACTCTGTTCTCTATAGGAAATGTATATACAAGATAGCTTTAGTTAGTAGGGTGCATGAAAAAAAGTTGTTGGTTTGTTTGCTTTTCAGTTGGACCATTTAAATGATAACATCTACATCTAACCTCATATAATTCTTCCCTAAAAAGAATCCAAACGAGAATGACCTATATGTGTTTCTAATGACAGAAACCCTAAATGGCAACCGGCATGTCAATACACACACTTAGGACTAAGATAGTAAGTAACCCAGGGAAGACAGAGACTTGTAATTTGGTTGGTACCACAAAAGGTTTCCAGACAGTGGAAGTGTCATTTTTTTTCTTTCTCTTTTTATGAATGGCCGCAGTATCCAGTCTGAAGTTCTCTGCCCAAGCCATTCATAAAAATACAAACAAAAAAAAAATCAACCAACTTTCTGGATACAGTCTGGAGCCATTGGGTGCCAGAGGCTGGGAAAACATACTGGCAGCCGTCACCCCAACCCGCATTGAAAGTATTCAAGGATCTGTTTGTTTGGTGGTCTGAAAAGTATGAAGTGATCTGTGGAAGTGCAGCTGGTAGGAGGACTGGAGCAGACTAGGCAGAGAGCCAGAGCTGGCCTCGTTTCAGACATTGTCTTTCCCCTCATTGAAGTGTCAGGACCTAATTCATGGAAAATTGGGTGAGTTGGCAGCTCTTTCAGAGGATTTCATTGAGCTACAGAGCATGCAGGAGTCACATGAATGCAGAGTCCATAGCCAAAAAAATGTGGGGATTTCTGAGCAGTTGGAACTCGTCAGCCTGCAAGAATGTCTGTGGATTTGATGTGGTTTGAGAGTAAACATGTGTACAGGTGTAATCACCAAGAGGAGAAAGAGGGAGGGGAGGGCCGGAGATGGAGGTTACTGAAGGCTCAATGTAGTCTATTCTTACAAATGACTCTTCTGAGATGAATTAATCTCTTGGCAAGAACATTCGAGCCCTAAGGGGTAGAAAAGTTCTAATGAGCCCTGGGCAAACCATCCACCTGGAGAAGACATCATCACAAACTGTGTGGTTTCAGAATATCTTTTCCACCATGATTTAAAGCAAAGAAAGGGGCATACCAGAAGAATGAATTTTTTTTTAAAGGCCTGAATACAATTCTCCTGCCACTTTTCTTTTTAATCATGCTCACTGAGCCTTGATACTTTGGATTTGATTTTTTTTAAGACACTAGTAAGGCAGTTAGGTGGTACAGGGGATAAAATACAGGACCTAGAATCAGGAAAACCTGAATTCAAACTCTACCCTCAGATACTTACTAGCTGTGTAACCCTGGAGAAGTCATTTAACCTGTATGCCTCAGTTGCCCCATCTTTAAATGGCTATAATAGCACCTACCTCCTAGTATTATTATAAAGATAAAATGAGGTAAGCTTTGTAAAGTGCTTTGCAAATGATAAATGTTATCTATTAAGAACAGCAGATCATTAAGTAACTACTTAAGAGAAGGAAATTGAACAGGAGAATTTCACCTCTTCAACAAGAGGTATGTTTAGCCAAACCTCCATTATTTGGGAAAACTGAAGCCATTTTGTTCCCAACAATGTCACCACAAAAGCACTTTAGCCTTTCAACGTTCAAGTGGCTGGTAGAGAAGTAGCCCCAGATTTGGAGCCAAAAGACACAGGTTCTGCTAATAACAACTTGATCAAGTCATTTATAGGATGACTTAATATATATATATCTAGAAGGAACCTCAAAGACCATCTAATCCAACCCCTTCATTTTATAAATGAGGAAACCAAGGCCCAAGGAGGTTGAATGACATACTGGAAGTTGAATAGACACTGAGTATCATAGCCAGAATTCAGACCTGGGACTCCTGGCTCTAGAATCAATATTCTTTCTTCTATATCACTGTTCTGAACCCCAGTTTCCTTATCTGTGAAATTAGAATGCAATAGTAACACACAAGCTACCTACATGCAAAGTCATGGTGTAAAGTGCTTTAATATCTTTTTTAAATGCCATATCAATGTGAGTCACTACTTATAGTGATATCTTCAGTCATAGAAAAATTGTAGTACTGGGGCTTTTATTAGAATAACTATAGGCTGTTTGGGATACAATCCAGTCAGACTAATACTAATTCCTAAATAGATTTCTTTTAAAAGCAACCAAAAAGCATTTAAAATATGACCATAAGCCTCCATTGTTTCCTCAATCAATTATTTAAAACTGGTTTGAAATATAGTGGAAAATCCATTAGGAATCCAGTGTTTTAATCACAAAAGTAGCCACATTCACTAGGTGTGTAAACCAAGATACATAGTAGAATAGATAGCAGTTAGCCTGCTCACATTTAACCTCAGAGAGGGTGCTGGACGTCAACAAAATCAGTAATTATAGCCCAAGTTCTATTTAAAATAGGCTGCCTTGTCTGGTTTTAATTAGAAGTTATTTAAAATGGGGTCTCTTCAAGTTGTAATAGAAATAGGTGAGTTAGGGAGATGTCTATCCCAATCATGTAAAGACTTCTTCCTGGTGAAATGGGTGGATGAGAACAATTTGTTCCAATGGCCACAAAGGTGGCTGAAGCAGACTGAAGCACTGAGGAGCGCATCAAGCTTGGTCAGACATTACTGATACCATGGTCATTTTATTGCATCTGGGGCCATTGCCAGGTGTCCTGACTTTTGTCTTGCTACTGGACTTCACTTCTATGAGTCTGGAAGAGACAGTGAGGCTGACAGCTTTGCACAACTCTGCCTCACTTAAATCCAATTCATACACAAGTCAAGACATCACCCATTGGCCGCTATTTTACTCCGACGTTGTGATGTCATTGGTCTTCTTTGCAAACAAAGGATGGAAAAACAACAGTAGAAATATCAGGGAATGGGAATACAAAGACCTGGATTGATGTCTAGGTTCTGCTGTTGTTGCTCAGTTGTTTCAGTCGTGTCTGACTCTTCATGACCCCATTTGGGCTTTTCTTAACAAAGATACTGGAGCGGTTTGCCATTTCCTTCTCCAGCTCATTTTACAGATGAGGAAACTGAGGCAAACAGGGTTACATGACTTGGCCAGGGCCACATAGCTAGTAAGTGTCTGAGGCCAGATTTGAACTCAGTAGGGGTATTCCTGACTCCAGGCCCAGCACTACCAACTGTGTCACCTAATTACCCCTGCTACCTAGGCTCTACTGCTCAGTAACAGTTGAGTTCTGAGGAAGTCAATTCATTCACCTCTCTGAGGCTTAATTTCCTCATCTCAAACAACTAAGATAATCACATTTGTACCACCAATTTTGTGGTGAGGACCAAATGAGATGATACATATGAAAATGCTTTAAAATAACAACATACTGTATATATGTATACATATGTGTATGTACATATATACTGTTATTAATAATTTGCATAGTACTCTTGTAGAATTGCTTTAATCTTTTCAATATTTGTCCTTTTTAAAAATTGCAAACTTGAAAAACATTCACAAATGTAAACATTTCTCCACAGAAAGAATAGAAAAATAAGATTGCATAGGACAGTGAATTTTCATCCTTTAACATAGTAGTTCCAACATTGCCCTTCTTGTCTGTGTCCCCTTCTGAACTTCCTTCTCTGTATTTTAATGATTTATTGATTCTCTTTTCTCCTTTTCTTTTAATTGCCCTCCCTACTCCCTATACTTATTCTCCCTTATAAAGTTGTTCCCTTGCAATAAATAATGTAGTTGAGAGGAAAAAAAAATAACTCATCCACAATCTGTCTGGAAATGTATGTCTCATTCTTTACCTCTAATCCATCACCTCTCTGCCCAGGTGTGCATGTATCATTATCAGTCTTCTAGAATCATGATTTATCATTGAATTGATAAGGGTTCTCCAGGCCTTCACGGTTGTTTTCTTTACAATGTTGTTATTATAGTAAAAAATTGTTCCCCTGAGCCTACTCACTTCTTTCTGCATCAGCTTTATATGAGTACTCCCAACCCTTTCTTTATTTTTTATGATACATTACATTCATGTTTGATAATTCTTTCAGCCGTTCACCAACTGATGGGCACCGACTTCGCTTCCAGTTCTGTGCTATAGCAACAAAAAAATACTCTAAGTACTTTTGTACATATGCATTCTTTGTTTCCTCCCTTTGGGAGTATATATCTTTCTTTTTTGATGAGGCAATTGGGGTTAAGTGACTTACCCAGAGTGTTATGTATCTGAGTCCAGATTTGAACTCAGGTCCTCCTGACTCCAGGGCCAGTGCTCTATCCACTGCTCCACCTAGCAGCCCAGGGTATAAGTTTAGTAGTGGTATTATGTTGTTGCATGAAAGGGTATGCACAGTTTCATGAATTTGGAGTGATAGCTCCAAACTGCTTTTCAGAGTGGGTGGACCATTTCACGACTCCAATAGTGCATTTCTGCCTGTCTTCCCAGATCCTTTCAAATGGTTGTCATTTTCCTTTTTTGCCATTTTGCTCAATTTGATGAATGCAAGGTAGAACCACAAAATTGTTTTAGTTAGCATTTCTCTTATTGCTAGTAGTTCTTCTTTCTCACTTTTTTCATTGTTTCTCTTAAGATTCTTGACCTTTTGTTCCTTCAGATGAATATTTTCTGCTTTGCCTAGTAGGCATTGTAAGTAGGCGAACTTTAGTAGTTTGATCGATGCGGCAATGTACCTATAAACAATTAAGTAATATTGCCATTTTTCTTAGGCTGGCACAGTCCAAACATGGGCAAATTAATATCTCTCTAAGTTATTTATTTATTTATCTTTGTCTCTGTAAATAATGTTTTCCAGTTGTATTCATGTAATTTTTATGTATGTCTTGGTAACTGGACTCTTAGGTGTTTTATGAAGAATCATAAGAATCATTTTAATCTTGAAATATCCTCTTAACTTTATATAGAACTATACAAATTTAACCAAAATAATTCCTACCTTTGTCACATATGAGTTTAACACTGTCTCTTTTCTTTCTTTCTCCCAGCCACAACAAGTGATTCAAAAGAAGCCTGCTCAGGTAAGATAAGAATGATCATGGATTCATTCTCTGATTACTATTAGGAGTGAAATGAAAGTAATTTCTTCCCACTTCCCATTTGTCCCTTCTACCCCACTCCCACATAATATATACAATCCTTTCTATTGATATTTTTCTACTTAGTCTCTTAGAACAGATGGTATTACTGTTATTAAAAATTTCTCTTTCAATAAGATTGATATGCCTCAGATTTAAAGAGATATAGTATAAAGAAAATGTAGAGCCTATATAAATTCATTTAATCTGTCTCAGGTTTTTGATCTGTAAATTGGAAATAATAGAACACAAGTTTGATGTGTAAGTTTTGGGGGTAAGAGGTATGCAATAACAACTTGAGTCTTTATAATACCTCTTACACCAAATGTATTCATGACCAAATTTTGCCCCTTTCCACATAGCCATCCATTGATTTCATAGGAGACTTACTGTCTGTATACTTTTATAAGTAAAAATATTCCAAGATACCTGTTAAATGTTTCCTTTATCATATTAATATCATGTAGCATCTTCTGAAGTTCTTAAAGAGTATTCAAATAATTATTTAATATACATAGCACTAAAAAGAAGTTGATTGACAAGGAAAGTTAGCCTTATTTCACACCATAATGTGCTTAAGTTGAGAAATCATACCACAATGTGCTTAAATACCTCAACCACAATGACTGGAAGCCTTTGACAGTGTCAAAATTCCTCTTTCCTATACTAAGTCCAGTTCATATCAGAAGAAATGTGTTGTATTCATTAAGAAAACAATTGGAGAGGCAGCCTGGACACAGACTGGCTGTGTGACCCTGGACAAGTCACTTAAACTCTCAGCAGCCCAGTCATGTCTCTAAGACTGTACATTGCTAAAGAGTTGCCAATCTGTATTAGAAGAAAAAGTTTCCTCCCTAGGAGTTCCCTGTACCATTGAAGTCCGTTATGCAGTGAATAAGGCATTGGACTTGAAGTCAGGAAGATCTGGGTTCAAATCTTGCTTCATATGCTTACTAGCTATATGACCCTGGGTAGGTCATTTATCTTCTTTCTCTCTCCGTTTTTCATCTGTCAAATGAGAAGTTTGGGTTCAGTGGCCTTCTAAGGTCCTTTTCAGCTCCAAATTTTTGATTTTATCATTTTGAAGTGAAGTCTCAGGAATAAATAATTGTCATTGTCAAATGTTTAAGTATTTATTATATAGAGCATGAGGTCTAGATGTTCCTTGTTTCTATCAAGGTTGAATAGAAGCTGCACAGCTCTAGGTTAAGTATAAAAAAGACTTTTAGCAACCAAATTATTAAACTATGAAATAGAATCACTTATAAATATGTCCTATATGTCATGGTTGTCCTCAAAGTTATGGCAACAGAGGACAACCTCAATCATTCCCACAAAGCAGGAAAGGCTTTAGGTACCCACTAGGTTGATCTCTGTAATCCAAGGATTGGCCTTGCTAAGTTCAAAGGCTGGCCATCAGATGAAGAGTTATATGTATGTATGTATGTATGTATGTATACACACACACATATACATACATATATATATATACATATATATACATACATATAATATATATATATACATACATATATACATATATATATCTGCTTCTGAAGACTGGCTAATATGATAGAAAAGGAAAATGACAAATGTTGGAGGGGATGTGGGAAAATCAGGACACTAATACACTGTTGGTAGAATTGTGAACTGATCCTATCATTATGGAGAGCAATTGGGACCCATGTCCAAAGGACCATAAAACTGTGCCTACCCTTTGACCCAGCAATACCATTACTAGGTCTGTAATCCAAAGGAATCAAAGGAAAAGGAAGAATATGTATAGTACAAAAATATTTATTGCAGCTCTTTTTGTGATGGCGAACAATTTGACATTGATGGGATACCCATTGTTTGGGGGAGGGCTGAACAAGTTGTGATATATGATTGTGATGGAATACTATTGTGCTATAAGAAATGACAAACAGGAAAGTTTCAGAAAAACCTGGAGAAGATCTCAAAGTAGTAATTAGCAAAAACAATCTGGTACTAACTAAGAAATAGAGTGGTGGATCAGTGGAATAGTAAATAACCATAGTAATCTAGTATATGATAAATCCAAGCTTGTGGAACAAAAACTCATTATTTGACAAAAACTGCTGGGAAAACTGGAAAACAATATGGCAGAAACTTAGACCAGCATCTCACACTGTATACCAAGATAAGTTCAAAATGGGCACATTATTTACACATAAAGGGTGATAGCATAAGCAAATTAAGAGAGCATGGAATATAGTTTATCTGTCAGATTTATGGATAGGGGAAGAATTTAGGACCAAAGAAGATATAGAGAGCATTACAAAATTTAAAACAGATAACTTTGATTATATAAAATTTAAAAGTTTTTGCACAAACAAAACCAAAACAACCAAAATTATAAGGAAAGCAGAACACTGGGGAAAATTTTTTGCAACAAGTATCTCTGATAAAGCCACATTTCTCATAGAAAATTGAATCATATTTATAAAAAATACAAGTCATTCCCCAATTGATAAATTGATAAATGGTCAAAGGATATGAAGAGGCAGTTTTCAAACAAAGAAATCAAAGTATCTATAGTCATATAAAAAAATGCTCTAAATCACTATTGATCAGAGAAATGCAAATTAAAACAACTCTGAGGTACCACCTTATGCCTATCAGAGTGGCTAATATGACAAAAAAAGGAAAATGTTGGATGTTAGAGGGGATGTGGGAAAACTGGGACACTAATGCACTGTTGGTGGCATTGTGAACTAATCCAATCATTTTGGAGAGCAATTTGGAACTATGCCCAAAGGGCTGTAAAACTGCATATCTTTTGATCCAGCAGTACCAATGCCAGGTCTATATCCCAAAGACACCTGAAAAAAAGGAGAAAAGGAGCTATTTGGACAAAAATATTTATAGTAGTTCTTTTTGTGGCAGCTAAGAATTGGAAATCAAAAGGATGCTCATCAATTGGGGAATGACCAAACAAGCTGTAATGGAATATTATTGTGCTATGAGAAATGACAAGCAGGATGATTTCAGGAAAAGTTGGAAAGACTTACATGAACTGATGCATAGTGAAATGAAAAGAACCAGGAGAGCATTGTACATAGTAACAGCAATATGGTCCAATGAAGAACTGTGAATTATTTAGCTATTCCCAGCCATGCAATGATCCAAGACAATCCCAAAGGACTAATGATGAAGCATAGTATCCACTTCCAGAGAAAGAACTGATATCGATTGAGTACAGACTGACACATACTGTTTTTCACTTTCCTTCTTCCATTTTTTTCCTTTTATTCAAGTCTTCTTGTATAAAATGACTAATATGGAAATGCTTTACATAATTGCACTCATCTTCATGAATTCAAATCCAGTTTCAGACACTTCCTAGCTGTGTGACCCCTGGGCAAGTTACTTAACCCTGTTTGCCTCAGTTCCTTATCTGTAAAATGAGCTAGAGAAGGAAATGGCAAACCACTCCAGTGTCCTTGCCAAGAAAATCCCAAATGGAGTTACAAAGAGTCAGACACTGAAAAAAATGAGTCAACAAGTAACATGGCCTAGTGAGTTCTGTAACAGGAGTTACAATGAATACAGAAGAAATATTAGACAGTGCCCTGCCCTTGGGAAACTTCAATCCAGTTGCCAATGCACAATGTACACCCCTAAGAAAATACTTCAGAACTTCCACTAAAATGAGAAAATGCAGAATGAAAGAGTAGTAATGATACTACTGCATTACATTACATTTGTGTACTGCTTTACTTTTTCCAAAGTGTCTATATCTCATTTGATCCTTCCCAACAACCCTATGATATAGGTGAGGCAGGAATTCCTATACTCATTTTTTTTCTTGAGCAAACTAAGATTAAGGTTAAGTGATCTGCCTAAGGTCCCCCCAGCCAGTTGATGATAAAACCAGGTGCTCTGGCTCCCAGTCCAAAAGACTTCCCACAACCCCACCCTACCCAGCCTCTCTCTTTATTAGTGGAAGTCTTCCTGAAAGAGGTGAATTCTGAAGGAAAATGAGCAACAAAGGCTGGGCTGGTAGATGGAAGAAGGCATTCCACGCAAATGAAATGCCATATATGAAAGGCACCGAGGTAGGAAGGGATGATATGTGGTGTAGGGCAAACAGATTAGCCTGGCTGGAACAAATACCCTCAATCAGAAAGTAAAGGGAAAGGAGATCAGTGGACAGTAGGGAGTGAATTAAGCTTTCAGGAGAACTGATAGTTATCCCAGGAGCAAAGGATGAACATAGCTGGTCTTCACTGATCAGTCGGCTTCTCTTGCATTTTTCTCATACTACTGAATTGACCTTTAAAGGAGAGGAGTTGAGATTTAGAATTAACAGCAAGAACACGCGTTCATGTGGGTTTCTTAATCTACACTGTCGAAGGAAATAGTGATAAATTAGATAAACATGGAGACTACATGGAAGTCCATGCAGGATCATGTAAATCTTACATGACATTCAGAAGAATCTCTTCCTTTTCCATCTGTTTCCTTCAAAATATCCTCACAGATGGCTTTTCCATGTGGCAGTCTGGATTAAGTTAGAATCATATCCTTTCTTCATCAGCAGGGCTTTGAGGGGTTATGTTTAAGTAATGCTATGTGAAAATTTTACTACAATGAGAGAAGGGAAACGGTTTAAAGAAAGGAGGCCAGGGGTAAGAAGAGTCCCAGGTTTTTAGCTCATCCTGCTGGACTAATTCTATAATCTTACTTCTATTCTGTATTCACTTTTTCTATCTGTAAAATGGGGCTAATGCAACCTTTCCCTTTCTTCCTTCACAAAGATGTTAGAAGAAATAAATGAGTTTGTATGAATTTCAATTCCTGACTGCTAAACTTCCAATTTACAGAGATAAATCCTGGGTTCTGGGAGATAATAGTTAGGATCCAGTTACTATGCATTTTCTCTCAAATACATGCATTAATATTTTCAGTGATTTTTTAAT